AAAGTTAGAGTAAGTGTTGCATACNGTCAACCCAAAAAGTTAGAGTAAGTGTTGCATACAGCCCAATCAATCAAGAAACTGAAACTGCGATTATACATGCATTCCTTTAGTTAGTATGATCTGTGTCCTGGAACTCAACCCAAAAAGTTAGAGTAAATGTTGCATACAGCCCAATCAATCAATATATAGGGAGTGGTATAAATAGGGGGTATACTGGGTTTATAAGGGAAAGCAAAGGTTACCCCTGAGTTCCCTGCCTCTTGAACTCCTTCTGAGTCCCGGCAGAGCTCCCGCAATCGGTGGGGCGAACCTCCCACAGAGGCCTTGGCGCGGATTACGGGTTGCAATCCCGTCTGCCGCCTTCCTCTCAGAACCAAAAGACCAGACTTAGAGTAAGAAGGAGAAAAGTAGATAGCTTTGAGACTCTCAGATACCAGAGAGGTGCACTTCGACTCGCGTGAGAGGGCCTCGATATCTGGATACGCCTGAGGGTCCCTCAATGGTGGCCAACTGCATAACATCTCGGTCAACCGAAACCAAGATGTCGATCATTGACTCCCCGGCGTCTACCCACTCGCAACAAGGCTCATTTTCGCTGACTTTAGCTATCTTGCCCTGCCCATTGGCCGAAGTCCGGTGGTCCTCGCTCAGAAATCTGATTGTAAGTCAGAGCATAGTCCCCTAACATCCCGTACTGAAATAGCAACGTGGCTCAACTAGCCATGCAATAGGAGAGTGCGCACCCCCTGTCGTGTATCCCTCATGGAACCCCGACCGACATCTGTCCCATAGTTGGACTCTCGCCGCCTCAGCCTGCAGGGTGAATATTGCACCATCCATCAGCTAAACCTCTAAGTCTGTGCCTGTCGGGACGAAAGGGCGCACCAGAAACGGCCAAGCCCGTCTCCCTTCAACAGGTCTGTTGTTACCCCAGCCCACTAGTCAAGCTACATTCCAGCTAGAGCTCGGGCCCGCAGCCACCATGGCTGGCTTCACTTCCTTCCTTGGTGGAATATTCGTTGTACTCGCTAGCGGCTACTCTCTGCAGTCGCTGCGGTCTCATCCCTCACTCCCCAGCTCGTGACCCGGAGTATTGCTGGCCACAGGTAAGCTCTGCACCTTCGCAGACAATCTACAGTTTCTCTGCTGCAATTTTACTTCGGCGAGCCGGGCCCCACACCAACCAGCAGGTAAGACTTTTGGCTCTTCGGCTGTTCCTCCACCTCCCCGTTCCAATGGGATAGCAGCATACGACTTGCAGACAAGTTCGTCGACCGTGACCTGCCTCTTCCCTCGGCGGGTCTACAACTCTACTGGCTACGGAACACTTCCCGCCAGCGATCTGAGAAAGATCGGAGTGAATCCTCCGATGGAATACGACTCGCTTCAGTCACCAGGTAAGTACTTCCCAACGCCCCCTTTTCCCTACTGCTTCTATCTCTACTAACTATTGTCCCAATCTGACCGCAGATTCCCACTCGCCCGCCCTTAGAATACTAATTTCGATCTTTCACTCGCCTTTTTCCGTTAAGAGACGGGCGAGACCGGCCCTGTTCAATACCGCCATAACCAGCACTGTATCCGGAGTCGCTCCTAATGTCTGGCGCCCCACACCCAGCCTACACTATCATCGCCCCTATGTTCATGTGCCCGCATCCGAGCAGAGTTGAATACTAACATACGCGACGTCCTCACTAGTGCCTGCCCGCCCGCGTACACCAGGTACGTCCTCTCTCCTCCAACCGTCTTCCTTTGCCTCTGCAGTCGACTCCAGCCGGGTAGGTGCCCGGCCCGTTTCTTCTCCCTACGTGTCGAAAGGTAAAATGAACCTTCTAATGGATCACGCCCAGGTACCCTGCAACTTGCCACAGCAGCCTGCTCCTCGGTTCTCCCCACATCGTCGCCTTAGTCCAACAGATGTCTACCCTTCCTTTCTCTCTCTCTCTCTGCGCGCGCGACTGCTGTAGAAGGTCGTGCCCCATCTAAACCTGTACAAAAAGAAAAAAAGACAACAAAAGAGAATGAATCTTCCGCCAAAACCCGGTAAGATACATCATTGTTGTAAACCTCCCCCCACACTGGCTTCCACGCCAATCTAAGTTTGGATTCGGGGTCGCCCACCCCTAAAACCCCTACTTTATTTCCTCCCTCGTCCGATCCCTTCGTGAATCGAGTGGGAACCTTGATCTTCCATTCCCCCTTTCTCTACCTTAGCCATAGCTTCGCGCAACCTGTTTTCCTACTAACTTCTAACTTACCAACTCCCTGCTAAAACTAACTACAGAATCAGATTCGCCTAGGCCTAAAACCCCCGTCTACTATCCTCCCTCGCTCATTTCCATCAAGAAACGAGTGAGGTACAACGCTTTCTACTTCCCCCCATAGCCGGCTTCGACCATCTTCCCGCACCTCTTTTTCTTCCTAGCTCTCTATCTACTAACCTTTGTCTAAAACTAACTTTATCATCGCATTCGCCTTCACCCAAAACCCCTATTCCGACACCTTCCCCGTACGATTTTGTTGAGGGTCGCGTGGGCTTCCCTCTCTCTGCTGCGCCCTGCTTGCCTCCTCGCCATCTCTAATCCTGAATGCACCTGGCTACGTATGCCGTCCAGGTACACCCCCCCCCTCGACTTTCCCTCTTCGTTCCTTCGCCCTCCGACACTCCGCTCTCTGCTGCTTAGTGCAGCCTGGCCGTACCCACCGTGGCCACACTACGGCCTGCCTCCTTCGCCACCTCGCGCTCCGTTCTTCCCCGCTGCGTCGCTACTCCACGTCGACGCCCGTCGCTCGCTGCTACACAACGCTGCCCGGTACTGCCCGTACCGCTGCCCTTGCTGCGCTATCTCCTCTACCTGTTGCTTCAGCGCCCGTCCGACGACCGTTCCACCACGCTCCGACAATCGGCCCTCCTGCGCTGCACTGGCCCGCTGCCTATCTACTTTGCCCGTGGCAGCCCCGTGCGCTAGCAATTCCACCCTGCGGTTGCCCGGTACCGCACGACTGTGCTTGCGCCCATTACCCACCAGTACCCGTAGGGGGAGGGGACCAAAGGGGGAGCACAATGACGGACCCATCGAGGGAGCCCGGACCTGATGCTACCTACCGGCAAGCCCCTGGCCGGTACCACCCACCTGCTGGTAGGTGCAGCTCCCGCCTGTCCCCTCATCGAAGGCTTGAGCACGGATGTGGCTGCTACGGGGTTCCCCGCGGTACTATAAAGGGGTAACTTCGGCTTAGTCACGACAACAGTTTGTAAGCAAACCTCAGACAACCCGCTGTCGAGCGCATCGGCCCCCGCGTGAGCGAGGGCCCTCCCGGCCGCGTCACGCTGGAGAAACTTACGCTTTCAACTTTTTTAAGACAACTCGGGGACAACACGGTAACCCGTGTTGACCCGTCGCCGCTCCGTCCGAGTGCGCCAGCTGTACATCTCGCGGTCCCCTACGGCAGGACAGGTTCTCGCGGGGCACAACTTACCGTCCCTAAGGGGATGTCACCGCCCTTAGGGGCGTATCCCCGCCGAGCTACCGACCCACAATGGAAAGCTTTTATAATGCAATTGCAGAGGTAGGCCGGCCGAGGGCGTTTGCTCGTTCGCTGTAGCATAGGTCCGCATGGTTAAAAGCCAAAGTGGATCCGAAGGTCATCTGTCCCTGGGGCACTGATCTCCCAGGAATCGGAACGCACGCCGGTCGACTAGGACGTCATATTCCAAACGTAAGGAAAACTTCTAGCGATCCTAGTCCCTTCTTTCGAAGACAATCAAAAGTTACGAAATACTAGTGTCAACGCAAGCTGAATTATTTTTTTGAAATTGACACATTCATACATATCACTCGTCTGGGCTGTYACAACTTTTGCGACTTGATGAGGTGCGTTGCCAAGTTTTTTCATTTCACCCCATACCGACTGCTAGCCAAGAATGCAGACAAATCCCAATACTCGATTAAAGCTAGGATGCCATCGCACTAGTGATGACTATGCTCCCACTCTTACTTTGGTGTGAATATCGTTTGCAAGTAGTCCGGCTACCATTATACGAGTCAGTACTCGACTTGAACAACCGAACACTTGATGCCCCATTAAGGTTAAGGATCCCCTTTTAAATTATGTTGGTCGCTTTGTCCTCCTGGGCAATAATTACTCTTTATGTTTCATAAATGATGAAGTATCAACCTTCGACATGAAGATATTCAAGGCAATAAATACTCTATTCACATCTTCCCGTCAACTAGTCTGATCGTCCAAGGCTTGCACTTCTTATGGTGCAACCCTATCCGCGAAGGTAGTGCCTAGTCGCACTCCGTCCATAGCTAGTGATCGCACGAACTGGGCTTCTTATGGCGTCAGCTCCCCACTCATCTATGGCTCCTAAGACGGTCACTAGAAGGGTAAACTATAGCGGTTCTTCTTAACGTGAGCCGTCAAGAACTTAACGCCGCCTAAGCGGCCCACTCCGAGTCGTTAACAGGGTCGGCCCCTTGAGTGAAGTTGAAGCGGCTCACTCAAGAAAGCCTAATATTTTTGTCAAAAAAGACTGATCACACAACTCACGTTGTGGCCTGCTTACAAAAATAAACCATGCTCCTCTTCAAGTGCCACCACTGACCCAGGCGCCGCTTATCAAGACAAAGCAAGCTTGCCGTCGAGAAGAGTACCCCCACTCTCAAATCTCACACGGCCTCACTATAGTCTCAATGGCATACCTCCTACAAAGAACAGCGTCAGCTCAATCGTCACTCCAACCCCCACCGATGGCCAAGTCAGATCACCGCACGCCTCCACAATACTCATTTCCCGTCTCACTCCTCACTCACCTGGTCCCAGAATGGTCCCAGATAGTCCCACACCATCGCCGCAATACTTGGTGGTCCCAACTCAAACCCCTCTTGCCCAACGTGCCGTAAAAAAATTGGTCTCGACCAGCCTTTCAGGTGCCGCATGCCACTGGCAGCGTTTCCGCATAACCACCGTCGACCCCAATGCTGCCGCCGCWAAATTTCGGCAGCGCTTCCGCACTACCGCTAATAAAAGCACCGCCGTCGCCGTGCCAAGCGGACAGCACCTCTTCTACAGACTTCAATGATGGATGCCGCTGCCAAAAAAGCCATGCAGCATCTCCCCTACACCGCCAGCCGAACCCCTGCCGCCGCCGGGCAGAGTTTCCCCCTGCACCGCTTGCATCAAGGTGGCGGCTATGGCAGCCGCCACCTCCTCCTCCTCCTCCTTCTTGCAGACCTCCTCCTTCGCCAGCACCTCCAGCATCTCCACCAGCAGCGCCCAGCCAACATTCACCCAAGTGAATGCCTCAGCAGCATTGCCACAACTTGTGAGGCTGCTGGGTGGACTGCTGGCTTTAATAGCCAGCCTCAGCAGCATTGCCAAGTTCAAGCCTCTGGGAATGCATCTGGCCATCACCCGCGGCCAGACGCACCACAGAAATGGTTGTACTCAACCATTTCTTAGCAGACTGTAGAAACCAACAGTTTGCTGCCCTATCAAGGTCCAGATGCTTCTGGACCTTTCATCTGGTTAGAGGCCGCGGCCAAATCCGCGGCCCGCCTATTTTTTTCCAACCTCCTCTTCTTCTTCTTGTCTTTTTCTCTTTTTCTCTCCCTTTTTTTTTTTTTTTTTTTTTTTTTTTTTTTTTTTTTTTTAAAGGCAGGGCCTCGTCGTTCGAAATCGAACGAGCACTTTCGCCCCCTTCAAAGTCATTTCACAGAGTCGTACTAGAGTCAAGCTCAACAGGGTCTTCTTTCCCTATTGCCCCCGCGCGCCCCTACCTGGACGCCTACAACGCCAGGTGTAGGCGGCGGCCTGCAGCCCGTTGCTCAGCCAACGGGCGCAGGTAAGTAGGCTTTTTTCCCTCTCTCTCTCTCTCTCTCTCTCTCTCTCTCTCTCTCTCTCTCTCTGTGGAACCACCCAAGGCGCATAAAGAGAATCCCTCGTAACACGAGTACAGAAACCCGCGCCCGGATGAGGCCGCATTAGTGCGGCAGATTCACTCGACTTTGCCCGTCCTATTGATGGGTGGTTATCCCGTTCGTCGTAACGAACGGGCACCTCCAGAGAATTACGAATCAAAGAAGAAAACAAAAAAATCTAAGCAAATAACGAATATAAAGAAAAAAAATCTAACTAAAAATCTACGGCGAATCTAACAGAACAAAACAGAGAAAATCCAAAAAACACAAGCAAAAKAAATAAAAAATAAAGAAAAGAAAAAAACTCACCTTCTAAAAAAAAACGGTCGTCCGTTTCTACGGGCGACAGCTTCATGTACTGGGGCTGAAAAGCCCCAGTCACTTCTGAGCGCGCCACCTGGCGCTTTCACTTCTTAGTGTAGTTTTAATTTTTTTTTCTTTTTTCTTTTTTTTTCCTCTCCGTTGGCTGCTGTCAACGGCCACATCACGTTCATGGGGGGCACCCACGAACTGTTGAAATCCAGACCCAAGTTCGATCCTCTCAGGGGATCGAAGAAAAAAAAACTTGTACCATTTCTCAATTTATGCGTGTCATCCTTGTGCAGGGGCCATACAGACCTCCGCGCGGCTGTTTTCAGCCGCGCGATCTCAGCGATCGCGTGGCCGAAAACGGCCACGCCAAAAGGCAGGGCCGCTTCAAAAGGAGCTACGCCCAGTAGGGCCTGTCGGTTTCGATCCCGGTATCTGTCGGGTAACAATTTGATATGGTTACCTAATGGGCTAGCTCCTATCACAACAATGATAAGAACAACTCTCCTATAAGAAGAGCTTGGCCCAACCAATGTCCCCTCGTTCCGCGGCCTTGCAGGCCCTGCCTGCCCATAGCCTTGCAGGCCCGGCCTGCCTGCTTGTCTGTGGCCCTGCCGGCCCCGCCAACTCACGGCCCTGCACGCCTAGTTGGTGGCGTGACCTTGGCATCGGCCTATTAACCCCCTGGCTCGACGTCAAGCCCCGCGGCCCTAGAATTAAACTCTCCTTCCTATTCCCCCTGCGTCGCGGCTTTATACCCGGCGCACACCTCTTTCTAGCTCACTTAGGCCCTGAATCGCGCGGCTGTACAGCCGCGTGACATTATTTTAGGTAGACTAGGTTAAATTTTAGTTTTTCCATGCCCGCACACTACTGCGGCTTCGTCGAGAACTGCGGACGACAGTGCGTACCGCCAACCCCCGCTGTCTCRAACGGACGTCGAAGACATCACACGTCAGCGACGTCTTACGTCGACAACGTCAGGCTTTAAGTCTTTCAGTTRTAAGGTTGGCCTGAATAAGCTTTGGCAACGTCAGTCTCATCACATTCCTCAACGACAAAAGTCGGACAACGTCTGACCTTGAAAAACTCGGGCAGAAACCCTCACAGGCGTTTCTGTCCCGACAGCCTTCCCCGCCCCCATTAAGCGACGTCCCCGTCGCTTACCATAAGGGAAGTTCTTATAAGACGTCAGCGAATACATCATATAATCACAGTACCTCAKGAATTAACCCAGATTTTACATACTKATACACGATAAGCGATGTTTCAATCGTTTGTCTCCCTTTCCTTTTATAATTATCCAGATACTCTTCATGAAACTCTCCGTGCAGACCTCATTACCATCAATGCAAAGGGCTTACTTTCAAGCCTTTAATACAGAGGCCCACTTTCAAGCCTTGTAATTCTTTCGAACCTTCCTTCGAAAGCACTTTCCTTCAGTCACGAGTTGGAATCGGGTCAGAAATAACCTCTGACAGGCCTTTCCCCGGAATCTGGAATCCACCGTCGACTGTCGGCGTTACCCAGCCTAAGGAGTTACAAGAACCTTAGAAGAATGATCCCAGCATCATCCCACTGGCGGCCACTCATTTTTCCTCTTGTCTCTCATAGATGGGTCAGGCTTATCCCCCTGATGGGACTCTCTTCAGGCTATAACCCCCTGTCTAGGTCTCGTCAGGCTTAACCCCTTGCGGGTCTTTCATCCATACAACACATACTGCCATGAATTTAACCTGGGTCTCTCGTGTTCATGGGGATGCATTCCCATCACCTCAGCATATCTCTCGCTGCCAAGAGTTTTAACCCGGGCTCCCCACGAAACACAAGGGTACTCACACTATACTACAGCACGTGCCGACACCATCCCAAAGAGAAATCACCCTTTCTAAAAGTCCTTGTCCAGTCCAGCTAATTCTCACTCCAACTTAATTGTCATGCATGACTTATCTCCTTCATGTCTTGTGAATGCGTCGAGGAGTGGTGTAATCCAGAAAAGGATAACATCTCGACGTCAAGCCCCGCTTTAGACTCGAGCCTCACCACTTTCCCTCCGATTCCAGTGTCATACATCTGTTAGTATCCTACCTGCAGGGTTGAACTACCCCTTCATTATGACCTAAGCTGATCAGACCCGGCCATAAAGTTGAAGCGACCCCATTCGCCACAAAACAAAAGGTGATCAGTCTTTCCCTCATGGCGAGCGGTGATCGGCACCTTCCCAAGCAAGGTTCCAACAAACATATTACCACCTTCCTCCCTTTCGACGATAGTGTAGTCACTCTCCTCGAAAGGGAGGACGACAACATCCCGCTATGGACCAAGAACAAAGTTCCGGCGCAGGCCTCACTAAAGTCTACGGGGCTCACAACATTAGGATTCCTCATTGCATGACAATCGAAACAATACCACGTCGTAGCGCATGACAAACAATTGAATCACATGTCCGCCGAATAACATGTGTTAATCCAGCCAGGCATATGATTCAAGTACACATCATCTCCTTAAACATGCACTCACATAAATCTCTCATTCATAACCACATACACGGAGTCCCATAAGAATTCCAGGTTTTTTTTTCARTCCTTCACATATGTGACGAATACTTTAATAATATAAGTATCCAGCAACCATTTTACAACACTCTTCCTGCAATGAACATCCAATCATGATAAAAATCTTACAAAGTCCTTTGGTATCATTCTTTTTCTTTACAACAATATTCAATACCTCTGACGCATAACGACAATTGTGAGAAAAGTATCATAGTCATCTTACAATTATTTACGTCAGTAAGACACAGCTTCATTATTACAAAACAACAAGAGTCACCATCCCATTGATAACCTCTCAATCTCAATGCTTTTATTAATACTTTACAACTTTTTTGGTTAGCTTAAGAGAAAAGTCGAAATCAGCTGAACCACAATATGAAAGCAAGAAGGATTACCAAAATTGATGCCACCAATTACCTCCTCTACCCTTCCTTCCTAAAAGTTTTCACTAAACTCTTGGGATAAACTTCCGTAGATGTGCACCCGATACCCAATTTCTACCCCGAGATCCATCCAATTCCTCTATTTCATATGCCCCATGTTCTGTTTTCCTAGTGATCCGATATGGTCCTAGCCACCGACTGTCTAGTTTTCTGGACCACTGTTTTTCTAGCGACATATCATACAACAAGACGATGTCTCCCACTTCCAACGGCTCTTTTCGTACACGTGGCCTCTTGTCCCATCTCTCCTTGTCAGCCTGCCTGCTTTCGAAAGTAGAGACAGTTGCATCTTCAATCCGCTCTTCAGTCGCCATGATCTGTCTTGCCCTCAACTCCAATAACTCTTCGGTCGAAAGTTTCGTTTCCACATCCTGTTTTTGCCGAGTAGTCAAGAAACTCTCAATTGGAAAAGTCGCATGCCGTCTAAACCATAATGTGACGRGAGCATACTCGGTTGTTCGCTTGATGGTAACATTCTGAAYAAAAAAGGYTGCCCTCAAATAAATCGGCCATCTTGATGGCTCCCCCTTGCACCATTTAGCTAACAAGTTAGACAAGGTGGCATGTCCTCGTTCCACGGGTGCATTGGCCTGGGGATGCGCTCTCGTCGTATAACTGAAACTCACCCCAAATCTCTTTAAAAGTGTTTGCACCTCCTTTGCTCGAAACTCGCCTCCTCGATCCATAACAATCTTTTGAACAAATGGATAACGGAGGTAATATTCCTCAATGCACTCTGCCAATACTGACCCAGTACGTTCGCGAATGGCACGACCATCAACGAACCCAGTCAAATTGTCCCTATCATCGAAGATATACCTGTACCCATTTATACCAGGTGGCATTACGAAGAGATCCAAATGCACCACCGCATCTGGCTCCGCCATATAACGCGGATTCAGGGGCTCGAGGTAGCGGATGTTAGACCTCTGCTGGCAAGGGAAACAAGATTTACAAAAATCGATCACCATCTTGCTCATCCCTTCCCGTAAATAAAGGCGTTGGATTTTGTTCAAAGTTACCCGCGCAGATCTGTGTCCGCCGGCTACCCCATCATGCAGGGCAGCAATCACATCCAACTGCCGAGAGATCCCGCATACCACCCTCTTTGGGACACCATCAGCAGCCTTCTTAAAGAGATGACCGTCACGAACAACGAATCCTTTGCTTGTCTCCCGCACAACCGGATCAACCTCACTTTCGTCCAATTCCCCATTCAACCACATGCCTATCTTCTTATATTCCCCTTCGTACTCCTTTTCCTTGAATGCCTCTTTAACCTCACTGCTCCCTTCCTCCGCATTCATTAACCTCATGCGATCCTCATGAACCAACAAGTTCATGATATACGACATCCTTCCAACAGTCTGGAAGCGTCATCAGCCTGCACATGGCCCTGTTGAATCGTTAGCGGATCAAGCATAAGGTCGATGTCATCGGTCAAAGCCAGCCTCATCATTTCCTCTGCGGTCTGCTCGCCCCATGGGTCCTCCTCGATGAAAGGTTTCTCCATCACGAGCTCTGAACGTACCTCGTGACAGATGGGAGCATTCCATATCGATTTCCCATGTCGAGTGACCGCATCAGTCAGGTATGCAAAGGAGTTAATACTCAACCTCGACTCCTCTTCTTTCAAAAAGGCATCGACCGGAACGGATTCTTCTGCCTGATCCGTCTCTGGATCCCATTCAACCCGACTCAACCCATCAGCATGATTTTGACTCACCGAAATCCGCTCAATTTTGAAGTCAAACATCCATATATAAGTCAGCCATCGTGCAATAGTGGGATCTGCAGGTGAATAATTCCTTAAGGACTGAGCCAATGCAGTCGGATCCACTCGCAGGATGAAGCGTCTACCAAACACATAATTCCGAAAAATATGGAAACAATGAAGCACTGCCAAAGTTTCATTTTTGAACTGGGAATAGTTCCTCTCAGCAACATTCAGAGTCCTACTCTCAAATCTGAGAGGTCTTTCCTGTCCCTCAGCATCCTTCTTAATTAAGACCCCTCCTAGGGCTGTGGGCCCCGCATCAGTCTCAATAACAAAAGG